GGGGCGGCGCGGCCCAGCCCAGTGCCGGCAGCTGTCACCGCCATGAGGTTCCGCAGGAAAATCAGGAGCCCGGCCGTGCTCAGCCACGAGTTTGTCATTCAGAACCATGCAGATACCGCGTCCGGCCTGGTGATGGGCTTCCTGGTGGTGTTCGTGCTTGAGGTACTGGGCGGGGTGAGGGGGCCGGTGGTTGCCGAGTCGAGCAGCACCTGGTCCTGCTGCGGGGCAGGACCGTTGGCTTCCCGCTCTGGAGCTGCGCCAGCGCGTCCCTCCCGTGCATCCCTCCCGTTCGTTTCAGCCTGGCTGCCAAGCAGCTCTGCCCCACTCCCTCCGCGTGCCTTTTCCCTTCTCCCCTGCAGGGTTATGTCCCTTTTTCTTCTCTGCCCCGAGGCCTAGCTCCGTGGCACCCTGCTCGGGTCCCCTCCTCGCCACGTCCCGGCTCTCTGCTGCGTGCAGCAAGTTTCGTTTCCTCTGCGCTGCCTCAGCTCATGTGCTGCTAGTGCCGCCCCTGCGGAGCTCTGCCAGCTCCCGCCCTCACCGTGCCACCCCTCTTACCCGCTCCTGTCAGGGTGCTGCTGGTTTCTCGTCCGGTTTTCCTTCATCTCTGCATATGTTTCATTCCTAGCACCCTCCCGTAAGCTCCCTTTTACTCAGTTCCAGCCTCCCGAGTTATAAAGATCCTCAAGCCCCCTTGCTTAAAGCAGTGTCGGTTTATGTCTCTTTGTTGTGTCTATTTACTTTTTTCTTTTTCCCCCCACCCTGTTCAAAAGCCCACGTAGTAAAGCAGTTAGGAACACTGTTATAAAGAGGGTTTCAGCCCGTCTCTGCTGCTTTGAGCATGCTTGACGAGAGGGTAGTTCAAAACTGCTAGTCACCCTTTTGCACCTCTGCTCAGTCTATTGCAGTCGTTGGCTCAGCTCCCTAGCGATGGATAATCTGAAGAAAAATGTGGAATTAGACAGTCTCAGCCTAACCTCTGAATTCCTCTTTACCTTTGTATTTGAAAGTTATCGTAAAGTTTATTTCCATGTGCAAGTTGCTTATTAGTTTTTGGGGTGATGGATTAGGCGTCTGTCTTAGGCATCTTTTTTCCCACTTTTGGGACAAAAGCCTTGTGTGTGTTGCTACATGAATATTTTATGTTGGTGTTGAGTATGGGATAAGGCTTGGTAAATAGAGTTTAAATTCTCGATAGACAAATGCTTTACTGAAATATTATTGTTATTACAAGTTTAATACTTTACTGAAATATTTCAACATTTCCCATCAGTTAGATAAGATTAAAAATCAGGTAATTTTAAATTAAAAGTACTGTTAAATTCTGAGATAAAATACTTACGTGTAGATGCTATGTCTTTTTTTTTATATATATATATATATATATCTTGACCCACTTCTGAAAACTTTAAGGATACTGGACAGAAATAGAGAAAGCAGTTGTGATGGTCAGATAATTACCTTCTAAATGGTGGACAAATGCAGTGTTGAGGTCTGTGCCATCTATGGAGGAGTATGTCATAAAAGTTAATATATGAAATGCAGAACTCAGTCTTGGGATAAAAAAAACAGAGCTAGGGGCTTGGCAGCTCAGGTGAGTAAAGGCTTTGAGAAAGAAAGTAAATGTTTGCACTTGGGATAAAGTAAACCCAGTTTGGGATCTCAAATGGAAGTTTTTATGTAACTTTATATATGGTACTTTTTAAAAGATATTGCTCTGTGTCTTTTTGCTGTTGAAAATGAGTATGTTTTCTGGAGTTCCATCTCTGATTTCTATTTGTCTTAACTCGGGCTTTGTATTTACCACAGAAGTTTTATTTGTGTAATTCTACAGGTATTGGAGGAGACTGTGTGGCTCCCCCAGGCTGAGCATTATTTTGATGAAAGTGATTTCTTTTAAAGGAAAAAGAGTGAGTTAATATTAGTTACACCCAAGGATAATTAGCAAATTATCTCATTTCTAGTCAGCCTAATTCTAAAAGTTCAAATGCAGACTAGACTCTAGGGTAGCTTGTGATATGTTTTTATTGAGCTGGTTTGAATATATACTATTATACTTCTTATTGTAGAATCTAAACATCTGCATCTCCTTTTTGATGCAAAAATTACTTTTTTGATTGAGACATCTTGCATTTGTTATGCAGAGGAACAGTGGTGTAGGTAACAGGTTAGACCTCTGTATTATACCTCTGCCTCATTCACTGCAGAAGAGCATACCAGAGTTATTTGAATGAAATCTGTATTTCTGTTGTTCACTGTCTAGGTCTTGTATCATCTTTATAATGGGTAATCCAGTCTGCCAGACTAACAAAACTATTGATGTTTTTCCAGGAAATTTTGGTCACATATCGTGGTTCTATATTGAGTGCTTCATAAGTGTTACTGAACTTGCCTACACAGCTGTTATGTCTATTTTCTTTTGGTTTTGATTTCCTCTCCGTATTAAAGTGAAATTATTTTTAGATTTTAAGTTTCAAGCACTGGAGGGCAGCTTTTTCTTTTTTTTTTAATCAGTGCTTTTCACAGCATTTTATGTTTACTGTGATTTCAGATGCATCTGTCAATGACAGATTTCCACATCTAGCCCATGGTACCATAGGTTATACACTAATAAGCTAAAGAATGTGTAAATGAAGCTTTTCACAGTTGACTATCTATTGAATGATTTGCTTGGGCTTACAAAGTATTATAGTAAATACAGTGTTTTCTTTTCTAGGTGGTGTTTAATTGCCCATATCCATGAGACCATCCAAAAAACCAATCAGTATGTTAAAATTAGAAATGAGCATTAGAAAGTCATAAATGGAATTATAAGAACTTCTTTAAGGGGAATTCTTACACATAAGGTTGTTTATCCACTGTAATTATACTTTCCCATACCTTAACTTTGCTGATTATTATGAGGTCTGTAGATGTGTGTAGGGAGATTCACTCTGATTATAACATACTGAAAAGTGGCAGTCAAATTTTGGTGTGTTAATTGTTATTTTCTTCCTTATCTGGAAATATTTATAGTCTTTCGCGTGCCCAATCCTATTCCTTTTCTTGACAACAGAGTGGGCCACTTCTTCCAAAGAAATCTTTCTTTTAGTATTTATGATTCTTTGTAGGCTTCTAGTATCATCTTAGAGTTTCATGCAGTTTCTTTCCTCCTAGAACGATTTACATCATCCTTGTACCTGTGGCTATCTTACCACAGATTATGACTTAATGGGGCTCCCATACTTCCAGCAGAGTGAAATGCTTGTAGTATTATGTTGTGTGCTTTGTAGACAAACAGAAAAGCTAACTTGCTGGGCTCTAGCAAAGATTCTTACCACCCTCTTCTCCCAAAGAGCATTAAAAAAGAAAAAGCTTATTCTCAGGAAAGCTGCCTAATGAAGGAGTCTGCTTGAAGTTCCATGGTCCTGTCTGAGTGCCCTTCTACAAGGGAGACTGTTGCTGTGGGTCCTGAGTGATGACTTACTGAAAGCAAGCATGCTTGTTTTAGCTAGGTGCTGATGACATCGATACCTATGTAACTATCTATATTTTCCTTGTCCTTCCAGGAGCAGTTGGCAATGGATTTTTCACACTCTTACTCCATGAACATTTTAAGTTGGTATTGATGCTCTGGCTGTTTATTCACCCCATCAAGCACACAAAAGAACTTCTGTAGCTGAGCAGTGCAGCATATTAGGAAATTCATCTATGTTAAGATTAATAGGGTTTTCTCCTCCCTCCTGTTTTGCTGGGTCAATTTTAACTTGTATAATTTTCCCGGGCAATTCACCACACCACTACTTTTGATGGCACAAGTGTGAGACAGAGACAAGAAGCAACTGGCAGTAAAGAGAAAGGCAGGATTGCTCCTTTTGATGGTAGTGCTGGTTACAAAAGGTTAAATTGTTCGTAGAACTGCAGTGTCTGAAAGTCAATTTTGTATGCCAGAAAAATTGGTACTTTCGTTTTCCTTAATGAGAAGTCCTCTTAAAAGTGCTCTTCAGTATTATGACTCCTCTACTGCTTAATTTCACAGGTGCACTCCCAGTGTACTGAAGCGATTTGCCTTCTCCTCCCTTTTCTTGCTACAGAGGATCTTCTTTTGCATTATTGTGGCTCTCACTTACTTTGTAGCTGGATAAATTAATGCTTGTTTTTTATACTCCTGAATGTTCTTAGTTACACTTTCAGACATTAGATGGTGTAACAACTGAGGAAAACAGCATTCTTCTTTCAGTTTCTGTTCCTGTGTTTTAAGTCATATCTGTGAAGATCAGTTTAAGAGAAAATGTAAAAGACACGAGAATATATTTTATTACATCAGTTTTCAGATTATGCCTGTTGTAGTTCTCTGATTTATGAACTAGATAACTGAGTGCTTGCAAACATAATAGATTTATTTGCTATTGGCAGTGTAGGATGTAATTCCATATTGTTTTGTTTTGTTTTGTTTTTGCAGCAAAGGAACCCGTGTGTGTGTGTTTGTTTGTTTGTTTTTTTTCTTCCCTTCTACTTATATCCCTGTGTTATAGCTTACCACTCTTTCAGTTACATCAGCACAACTGCTTGTTTTTGAAGTTGTGCAAACCAGGTAATTAAATGTTTTCAACTAAACTAAGCAAACATATTTACCTCTTATCACTCGGTTGTAGGGTCATACAGTAATCCACATTATAAACATTCCATTGTTACAGCAAAGGGCTAAATATACTGCAGCAGGGGAATGGGAAGACATTGTGAGAAGGCAGGGTTGGCTGAAAGTGTTGGGGGTTTTTTGTTTTGTGTTTTGAAAAAAACAACTAGTTTTGCCACTGGAGAAAAAGTAACATAAAAGTATTTGGCTCCTTTGATTGTACTGTGATTATTAGAAAATGCTTGATTTATCATAGAAGAAACTGGCATATCTTACAATTCTACTATGATGTTTTGAATACTCCATCTGTTTATATGGACACTTAGCCAGAACATTGCTTTTTTTAATATCTTGCAAAGTTAGGCAAAACTTTCCATCTGATTTAATTTAGAGAGTCTTTTAACTTTTGAAATAAATTAAAGCCATTTATGCTTCTAAACACTTTAAAATGTTATTTAGTAGAACAGTGAGTAATTTGATTCCTAGCTAAAAGGTCATAATTCAAGTCCTGACCCTATGCAGCAAATGTTAAAGGATTTGCAACAAGGTGAGCCTCCACATTTGTGGGAGATGAATAACACTTTCGGGACCTCTTTGATTTAAATCATGTGTGGGAGAACATTTGTTGATGGCATAATCTTTTACTTTTGGGTGTTTATAGTCTAGCTTGTTTGAAAAATCTTATACTTTTTCCTTGTTTCTTTTTGAATTTCAGAACCCAGCCAAGTTTGCTGTCATCTTTGTTGCTGTGCAATACAATGTCACCTATACCACTGGTGAGATTAAATCAAATCTATTTTTTTTCTTGTAATGCCAGAGTTCAACTATTAAAAATTACTCTTTTTTTTTTTTCCCCCCTCAAGACTTCAATTCACTTTTATAATATAGTACAACTCTCATATTTGTCTGTCTGCTTTTGGATTTACTAATACTGTATAATACCATATGAGACATTCTAGTGTTTTCTCTGTTGCTTGTGAATAATACTGGGTTATTTTTCCCATAGTTAACATTCCTACTAACTTGCATTTTAATGTGAAAAGCATGCATTCTTTCCAGTTTTTGATACAATCGAGGAGTTAGCAAGTAACAGAATATTTTGGTAATCTTCTATATATCTGTTGTTTATTCATGATTTCTTATGTCATTAGCAATGGATTTGTCGTTTATATTTCAAAAATATCACGTTAGTATTCTCAAGTATGCTGATTTAGTCGTGCTTTTAAATAACAAAGGGGGAAAGTACTGATTCTTTTTTCCCCCAAAATATTTCCTTTTTTTAATCTTTTGTACCTGCTGTACTATATACAAGAGTGGTAAGCAGCTAGTGGAATTTCCTTATTTGATAACTTAATTTTTCTTAATAGTATTGATAAATTTCAATTCTTTCCTGGAATTACTCTGCACAATGTCTTGGAAAAAGTACGTATTGTGGTAGAATTATTTCAGATGGGGAACTAAGGTGAAGAGAAATTAGCAAAAGCTGTGACTTTTGCTCTAATCTTGACTTCCAAACTTGAGACCTCTGTGCTGTGACTATTCCAAATAATGTAGCACTCTGACTGCATTTAATATGTTCAAAATAATGTACTGATCAACTTTGCTTGCAGTAATGAATATATATCATTTTTTGCAAATATTTCCTGAGATGTTTAATGTTGAACACTTGAGGCGTACACAGTCAGTGGACTTCTGTTTTACTGATAGTTGAGCAGCACCAAGTAGAAATCTCCTGTAGTGGAGACAAAAGTAAAATCCATGTGTCAGTTACAAAGGTGGCTGTGATGTGACTTGGTCATAGTGTTGGTGCGTGCGTGTGTGTGTATACACATACATGCAATGGAATGAACAAGGTTTATCTTCCTTTAGTTGTAATGAGAAGCGTGGATGAGTTCTGCACAAGAAATTTTGAGGTCTCAACTCTGGCCCTCTGAAAACAATGAATATATTACTAGTGAAGGTCCATTTTGAAAAATAGTGCTAAAGACCAGGCAGAAATAGCATTTGCTGTGCAATTACTTGTTCATTGATTATATCACAAGCTGCTTTCCAACATAGACATAGGACATCTGACACTTGGTTATATGGATGTCCTGTGCATTAGGACCTTAATCTACCGTTCATGTTACAGGAAGCAGTCATTGCTTTCTTGACACCTTCTAGCCTAATTTTCTTTAGCAAGAAAAAGTTGTTTGATGTCTGTATTTCTGCTGTTTTGCGTTTGGACGACACAGAGTTTGACAAAGGGTAGAAGTCTTAAAGATGAGAAAATTCCTTGATGTTTCTGGAAAGTGGCAGCTGTATAGATAAGACATCCAAATTCATTCTCTCTCTTAAGTGAAAGCAGAAGAATGTATATGTTAGACATGCTAGCCTGTAAATCAGGATGAGCGTGGCTCTTGATTAGCTGTAGTACAAGTTCTTTCTTTTCCGTTGCAGTGTCTTAGATACATAAAGAAAAGTGAGGTGGTTGGGTGTTTGTGGGCCAAAGGAGAGACATCCCTACAAAATAAGGCTTCCTTAGGCCTACTGCTCCTGATACATGCTTTTTTTTTAAATTGAATTTCATTTGTAAGTTCTCCCACACTTAAACACAGTAAATACAAACATTTGAAGTATTTTTGTAACAGTGTGAATGTTCTTCTTTTTTTGGCAGTTTTGTTTTTGATTTATAGGAACATATTACTAATTCTGGGGAACTTGTTACCAATGTGTTGAACTACTAGGGATACTATCCTCACAACATAGTTTCTTTTTTCCTAAGTATAGTCATGCTTCTTAAGATGGAATGTCATTTGGCCTCTACCGAAGTATAGAGGATAGGGTGTTGGTGTGTTGTTTGTTTGGTCCCCTCCCCTTTCTTTTTTTCTTTATTTCTTTTTTTTTTTTCTTTTTTGGTGGCCTAGATGAAAGAAATAGGTGGAAGCTACAGCTCAGTGTATACCGCTCCCAATAGTGCGTTCTAGACTTATAACTATATCATTGTATTGAAGGAAAAGAAGATCCAAGTTATCTAATCGGGCATAAAAAGTAATTTTCAAAAACGTAAAACTTATAATAACTAGTATCCTGTATTGATTTAACATAACTTCCAAGACCAATGGTCACTGCTGCCCTTTCTCAGTTGCACAGAGTACTCATTCATAAGAATGTAAAAATACACTTTTTTTCTTTTTTTAGATGACAACAGTGAGCAATTTCATTTTTATGACTATGGTCCAAAAGACATTGCCACAATCTTCTTCTACATGCTCGTAGCTATTAATCTGCATGCCATAATCCAGGAGCACATATTAGATGTAAGTTTATTACTGGGATACAATTTACTTTTATAAACATGTTATTTTTAGCTATCAGTTGCTAACAGTTTTTCTTCAAGGTAAGTGTAAGCCATGGTACAAGGAATGGTTTGGCATTTAGAAGCCCTGTTATCATCGATCCTTTTGTTCTTTGACAAAACTGCAAATAGACCTTGGTTTAGCAGTGGACTTGGTAGTGTTAGGTTAATGATTGGACCCAATGATCTTAAGGGTCTTTTCCAACCTAAATGATTCTATGATATTTTTATAATGGTATTTCCTTAATTTATTAATGGTATAAACCACTGAATCTTTCTTTCAATCAATATAACATACATTTTTCTGTAAAATCAGACATTAAATGTTCAGGCCCTACTCAAAATATCCGTGAATGAGGTCTGTTGCATTAGATTCAGAAGGTATGTTCAGAAGATCAAAAATGAACATTACTGCAGCAGTAGATTTCTGTTTGTCAGCTGAGCTTTGCCTCAGAGGGAGCTCAAACTCAATTGCATGCTCATTTACACCAACTCAGTTGCAAAGTAAAATGAATTTGTTAAAGCCATTGTGAGGGCAATTTATTATTGAATGGTCTTAGAATGTCTTCACAAATAGGTCATCTGAGCCACAGAAGCTCAAATGGTTTTTAAGTGCGCAAAGAGATTTGAAAAATTTAGCATTATGACTCTGTTTATGGGGGGGAAAAAACATTGTATGAATACATTATCTGAATATTTTTCATGTGAACTTTCCCATAGTGGCAAGTCTTATTGAAGCTAATTGTCGTACAAAGTGCTGATCAAGGTCTTAAATGGTGGGAGCTATGTATTTTGATGGAGGAATGGGAGATTTGGGAAGAAAAAAAAAATAGAAAAAGAAGTTCAGGAGTGAACACTAACTCCCAAATAGCTTTCTTGTTTTAGAAATTACATTTATTGATCTGCTTTTTGTTTCTAGAAAATTAATAGACGTCTGCATTTGTCAAAAACAAAGCACAGCAAATTCAATGAATCAGGACAGCTAGCATTTTTCTACTTGTTTTCATTTATATGGGGAGCAAGTATTTTGAATGAAGTAAGTCACTCTATTTTCTGTTTTTATTTAAAAAATAGACTTAAAGTATTAAGAAGGTCCTTAAATCAATGACCTTTTTCTTTAGGAAGAATTCATGATGGACCCAAGCTCACTCTGGAAAGATTATCCCCGTTCTCGTATGCTGTAAGTGTTCTATTTTCAATTTGAAAAAATCTGGTACTTCTAATCACTGAATATTTAACTACCCCAAATTTTAGGGAACCACTAATAAGGTAGTGACACTGGTACCTTATAAGAATGACAACTAGATGAAAATACTTTCTTCTGTTTGAAAACTGCCAGCAGTTTTATCCAAAGGTAGTTTTTTATGAATTGAACATCTATCCAAGAGATACTCACATGTGTTCTTATCTTTCTTTAACTTAACCATGGTAGCTGAGTTAAAGTGTTTGCAAGATGGGATATATAACAGGACTGCTGAAATGTTTCACACGAAAGAAATATGTTTGTTTGGAGACTGAATTTTCAAATTAAAGGGGATTTATAGCTTGGTTTTGTTTTGGGTTTTTTTGTTTTTTTTTTTTTTAATTAAGATGATGTATAAAATTGTGGTGTTTGTGTGGGCCCCTCCCCCCAGTTTTTCCCTGGCGAGTGTGATAGAGGGAAGGGGAATAATACGTGTTTTTTAGGAAGGGAGTTCCACTGCTAACAGGATAAACTGTTTCTGTGTGTTAGTTTTTTAGTGTTTTTTCTTTCCTACTGTCTCAAAAGGTGATTCAGAACTTGCTATCAAGCCAACTATGGATGCTAATTCAAAAAAACTCTCACCGCAGAGTTGTTTTGTATTTGCAGTTCTTGTGATTTAGGAATCATAAACTATAATGAGTCAGAATGAATTAATTTAAGATCATGAAATAAAATCTTGTCTCTCATGTTGAAAGCTTGAAAACTTATCTTATGTTTTCTTAACCTGAATTATTGTTTAGTTTTCAGGTAAAATTCTTCTATATTTGCCAGATAGCCTATTGGCTTCATGCGCTGCCGGAGCTATACTTCCAAAAGATCCGAAAGGTATGGAGAGAAGTTGTCAGTACAGTTAATTAAATATCTATTCTTTCCAGTTATTCATATTAATATTTTTGTTTCTATTAAATAGTATATAAATAACTGAATATACAAATATGAATATGTAGATATTTATTAGTTATGTATTCTAATTGCTTGCATTTCCTATCTAATTTAGTCTAGGTGGTGTGTAGATTTTGATTCAGATAGTCTTTCCAGAAATTTGTACTGTAGTGTGAAAAACAATCAAACCTAACAAATGATATGATTTTTTTTCTTTGGACAATATAGTTAAACTGTAAGAGCATTTATTATAATTTCTCTAATTTTAGGAAGATATTCCAAGGCAGCTATGTTATATTTGCCTTTACATTGCTCATATCTCTGGTGCCTATTTATTAAAGTAAGTACTTGCATGTCCATTTTGAATATAGAACTATTTTCTTAGTAATTTCATTAAAATTTCTAACTTTTCTGTTTTATAGTTTGCAGCATTTGGGGCTAATTCTGATGGTACCTCACTACTTAGTGGAACTCATTTTTCATGCCTCACGTCTTTTCTACTTCATTGATGAAAACAAGCAACAAGGGTAAATCTTGCATGTATTAATTAAAATTCAGAACTTCGCTTACTCTAAGTACGTATAAATGAATTTGCATGTATGTAAAAGTATTCAGGTAGCAAATGTTACTTGTTCAATGTCCACTATTACCTGCTTTGAATTCATGAGCGAGTCATTGTCATTACATAGAGTCAAGGAAGCAAATACACCACTTCATGATCATCATCATAAGGTCTTGTTGAAGCTTTTGCTAAAGTCCCATCTCGGATATCTATGTATTGGCTTCTGATTCTGTAAGTTGCCTGTTTGCTTAAGTGTTCATAAATGTTTTTATGTAGGGACGCTTGTTTTTAAAAACAGTTAATCGGAAAAGTAATAAAAGCAGCATTCTCTGTAAGTTCTTGTAGGTCTCTCTCCTTTTGATAAGGTGAGAAAGGGAAATAACTACCCAACAGAGAAGGTAATGTCTCGAAACGTGTAGTTGATAAGATATCTTCAGTTATGCATCTCTTGAGTAAGATTCCTAACTATTCTGAGAATTAACAGGTATAAAAGTAATGCATTTGAGAATGGAAGGAGAGGAGGAGCTGAGATACTTAACTGTGAGGCATGCTAGGAAGGACTGGGTACATTTCACCACTTGAATGAGAAGACTTCTGGAGGTTGCAGTTTGAATAAAGCAGCCTTGTCCCATTTATGTGTTCTTGTCTCTTATTCTTTCTTCCTTTTCTGAGTGACTGCCCAGCTGGAAGAGATTATCATGAACACCTTGCTTGCTTTCATTCAATCCCTTATATACAGGCAGCCTCCCTTGAGGCAGTGTAATGCTGCTGTTCTTTCTGGTCTTCTCAAAAGATTTATTTGTGTTGCTCCTTAAAGCTAACATTTTAAATAGGTATGCTAAATGTTCTTTGCAAAAAATCAATGTTTACTGATGCAAATAGGGAAAGTGGGAGAAAGTTAGCTTATTTTTCACTTGTATGTCATATTTAATTGCGAGGTTTTAGGAGCTATGAGCTTATCTGCTTTTCATTATATGCCATCCAAAAGCATGGAGGCTAAATATACTGATCAGGAGAACATATTTTCCTGACTTTAATGGTCAGATAAGCAACTATGTCTGTCTTTGGCTGGAAATCAGTTATCCCATGTGCAATATTACCACAGTGTAAATAACTGGAAATGGAAATTGGTTTTCATAGCTGATGAATTGCAGAAGTATTTGGGGTGTTTTATTTCTATTACATGTAGCACTTACAACATAAGCTGTAGGAACAACATGGTGTCAAATACTAGGTATTTTACCTAGCTCAGAATTTATTGTTTCTTCTTACAGCTCTACATCCAGACATTGTAGCTTTTCTCAAAATCTTTTTTTGGAGGAGGGTGTGAAGAGAGTTGCTTTTTAAGCAGTCTTGCTTATCCTGTGAGAGATTTGAAGTACGTTTTCTTTAAGTTTGAAATCAGAACAAGCTGATTTTTTTTTTTTAAATGCAAATTTTGGAAGGATACTTTTTTTCACATTGTTATTGTCTTTTTTTAATCCATTCATCAATCACATGATATGAAGTCTTTTTTCAGTAGAAATCTTTATGTAATGGCGGTAACAATACCAATTTTCAAAATTACTTATTGTCAGCTTAATAAAACTGTTCTTCAGGGTTTTATTGCCACATCCTATAGCAAAAACTTCTAAATGCTGAAAATCTGCAGGATGGCATCTTCCTCTGTTAGCTATTAAGTGAAATAATTGTCACTTGTTATGTATTAGCTGTCTGATTACCTTTTCTTCTTGTCGTATAAACGTCTGGCTGTTAAAAATTACATATATTGTCTTGATCTTCCAACTGTTTAACACATGTATATTACAGCTTTAGTGTCAGCTTTCTGGCTTTACAGCATCACCATTACTTTATAAATGGCTTACAGCATGAATGCCAACTTAAGATGCATCTTTTTACTTCATTGTGCTTTCTAGTCAAAAGATGGTGTAATGAGGCAGGACTGAATGTTTGCAGATGACCAAGTTTTTCTGTAATTATTGGTCCCCAACGTGGACATTTCCCTGTCGTTGCGGAGAGAATTTTAATGAAACATTCTTTGTACATTTGACTTTATTGAAAACAAATGGACTAAAAGGAGAAAGCACATTAATTTCATTATTTTGTTTTCAGATTTACCATTTGGGCTTTACTTTTCGTAATGGTGCGTCTTTTGACCCTAACTTTATCTGTCCTCACATTTGGATTTGGTCTGGCAAGAGTAGAGAATCCAGGTTTTTCCATAGCAGACGGAAACTTCAATGTACTCCCTGTGAGGTATAACAAGGCTAGTAGACATTCATGCTTGTATAATGTGGCATTTCAAAATATCTTGTAATAAAACAATCCAGGATGATAATGTGTTTTGAAGAATTTCCCCAAGCGATGTTTTCCTCTTGAGTATTTAAAGGAAGGGAAATCTTGTTCTCTTTTCTATCTTCTTTTCACAAAAGTAGTAGAACAGAAATAGGAAGAAAGAAAAAAGAAACTTTTTTATTTTTTTAATTAATTGTTGATAATTATCCAAAAAGCCTGGGATAATAATCTCATTAATTTTTTATTAATATTCATAATTTTAAAACTAATTACTTGTTTGGTGCCTTCCTAAAATATTTTTTGTATATCTTTTATTGTTGCTTGTTAATTTCAAAATTCTCTTACTTTGTCAGCATAAGCTCATGACTTTAACATTCACCCTTATAATTTAATGCCTGTAATTGAGTGTGTGGGAGGGATTTTGAATCTACATGATTTCTCATTCGTAGATTGCTTGGCAGAAGGGGCCTCAATGACACAATTTCCTATCAGCCATTGAAAGCTGTGGTCACAGCTCCTTGATAAACATGATTGCTTCTAGCAATATACTTACATACGATTTCCGTTCATTTCTTGTGTGACACACCTTGTCTTGGGTAAAGCCTTCTGATACATCTGGTTTCCCATGGTATGAAGATTTTAATTGTTTCTATAGTAGACTTTTGGAGAAAAAATAAAATAGGTACAGATTTGCAGTCTATTAGTGGTTAACTGAAACTTTTATCTAACTGACTCCAAAATCTCAAATCTTACTAGGATTGGCTGCCTGGCTGCTGTTTGTCTAACGCAGGCCTGGATGATGTGGAAATTTATAAATTTTCAGCTGAAGAAATGGAGAGAACATGTTAAGAACCAGATTCCAAAGAAAAAAATAGCTAACACAAAGAACAAACGAACAAAAAAGGAGCCAAACAGAGGTCAGTGACGTAAGACTTTTTTTAAAGTTGTTTCTAGGCCAGATGTTTATATACCAGATGTATCTTCTCATATCTTTCCTTTCTGTAAAAGAGCAAAACCATCTGTCTTTAGACGTGCAGAGACTATAGATGATAATATAGCTTCTACAAATGTTAGGGCATGTTCTTCTCGAATTCCATATTGCTAACTGGATGGCACACAGTGCTAACTGTACTGAACTCTATGTTAATCTAAATGCAAGGAATATTTCATGAAACTAGGCTTAATGATTCCAGGGTTTTCCTTCCGTTTTAAATCAGTCTTTTACAATGCTGCTAAAAATTTTTTTTTATTTAACATCAGGAAAAAAAAGTATCATCCAAAATCCCTCCTGTATTTCATAAATTCTGCTTCTATTATGTTTCAGACTTAATTAAAATTAAGTTTGTTCTTCTCTGTAAAGACACATCATGTAAAGAACATCAAACCCACTGAAAAAGAACTCCAACAGAACATCATAGTAGCTAGCAAAGGACAACTAATGGAGAAAGGCTTTTAATTAAATGACGTTGTGTAATTTCCAGATTCCAATGTTATATCAATTAAATGAGTTAAATGGGAGTTACGAAGATTTGGTAGAGCGAAATTTCATATTCCTGTTAACCTATGTATAAAACACTGGATAGAGTTACACATGAAAGATTGGGAATCACTTCTGAGATCTGGGTAGAGGTTTGAAAAATCCAGTTTCTTGGGGAATTTTACCACAGGCTGGCTCTCTTTCTGAAGTCGATCTTTATGTATTAGATTCTACCACAAGGGGTTGAAGCTCTTTGCATTCAGACATTACTATCTGAGTCAGCGGTAGCTGAAACCAACTGGAAGATTCTAGACCATAATGGTGCTCATAACATTGTTTTTCCTTATCATTCCAGAGCAGCCTTTCCGCTCTGAATGTAGCTGCAGGTGCTTTTTTCTTTTTTCTTTCTCCAATCTTGCAGATCTTTGTCTCCTTTCCAGATGAATAACTTCATTGCTTTTCTGTATTGTTTTATAAAATTAGTGCAATTCTTAAGTTCCCAAGATGATTACAGCTTGGAATAGCAGAAGTGATACTGTAGTTTGACTTCATGTTTGCTTCAACTGGGCAAAACAAAGAATAGCACAGGCATTATAGCTCTCTGACTGCATATGTGGAAAGATGTTGCACATTGTTTATCAGTTTATCTTATTTCTAATTGCAAAAGTATTCATGCTTGTAGAAATATTCCGAAGGAGAGCTTGGGCTCCACTGGAGCCAGTAGTTTAGTTGCAGGCATTAGCTGCAAGTCATTTCTTTAGTCTACTTGAAGGTAAATAGACTCCTTTTGTCCCCCAGCTCTTAAGATGAGCGTTCAGACTCGTTTGCAGTTAATGTGTCTGTACAATCCCAACAGTATAGG